AGACAATGCTTTACATAGCAGTTGAATTTTTTCAACTGATCTGGACTCAACCGAGGAAATGTATTAAAAAGTTCTATTGTCAAGCATTAATTTAGATGGCACGGTGATGATTTATGAGACTAAAAAATACCATAACCAATCCAAAATGATTTACAAGATATAGAAAATGTCATAATCGAACAGTAGAGTTAAAATAATGTAAGGGTATTCCCGATTTTGAATACCTTTCACTCCTATAGTACTATGTATATGATATAAAGTCTGTAAACAAGAAACAATTTGTTTAATCTCCAATCTAGGAAGATTTTTCAAGCTAATGCTAATCCTAAATCAACATATCACCTTTAAATTAAGATCCTATGATACACGAATCATTGCTCAAAAGTTGATTGTTATACATTTAAGTTTTTCATATAAGTAAGTTAAGCCACAAATTGAAGTTACCTATCCTTGTGTGAAAGCAACTTCATATTCTTATATTTTATAAGCCTTTCAGGAGTTCTTCCGACAACACTTTCTCTTGGGGTTAACACTTATCATGCAAGAGAAGGCATTGACAAGCTTAGAATCCTCTTTAGTTATAAAAATTTTGGCTGCACTTGGGTCTACAAGTAGAAGCTTAACCACAAGGTATCCAATAATTAACCATGTTTGGAATAACTGTGCTTGTTTTCTGATGAACCTTCCTCTTTTTGTGTCAAAGTATTCAAGCCATTTGTCTCTTAATATGCGTTTTTCAGCAACTTCAATAGCTCTTGCAGCGATTTCTGGTCTTTTCATCTTTATGGCTACAACAGTAAGCTGTAAAAAGTTCATTTTTAAAATCTTAAGCCGCACTGCCTTCATTCCTTTATTATTGCTTTATTTTATAAAACATCAACAATATGTCATATTCTATTGGATCCAAGCATGACAACTCAGGAAACTTATACCTAAATATAACTTCTACAAAGGGTTCTTTGGAGCAATGAAAAAAAAATAGTAGCAGAGAGAATATTTAATCATAACAAACTAACCTGCCATAGCAGAGTTTGGCCAAGAACCACCATTATAGTAAGACCAAGGCCTGCATAAGAAGGAAATGTAGTGAGAAATGTTAAAGATAATGAAGAAATAGATCAAAAATAAATAATACGAGAGCAAATATCTTATGTGTTTTTTGCATCACTACAAGTGATTATTTGCGCTCCTAACCTTCAAGAGTGAGATAACATATCTTGAATGGCATGTCTGTTACTAAATCTGCCCATTCACTTCAATAAGATCCAGTATGGCATGTGATTGATCAGCTATTGCCAAACTTCTTACAATAGACCACATGTTTCCTAGAGAAAAAAATTGGAAATCCATGTGTCACCTGTAAGTTTCCAATTAGATAACCTGCTTTATTAGGCATCCATTCCACCAACCAAGGAGAATTTTGATCAAGGTAAATGTTGAACTTATTAACTGCATCATATGAGTACTCCTCAGTCTTGTAAAAGTAAATCTCATTTAGTTTTCACAAATCAATCCAATAATACTCCCTGATGTGGAATGAAAAAGCAAGTAGGCGATTATTTAGTGCCTGGATAAGATCAACAAATCCATTTTAGAGCAAGCATTTCATGTGCACAGAGTAAGGCATAATAAAATAGTGGTTGTAAGAAAAAAAATAAAGATTAACTGAAGATACCACAAGAAAAGAAGGTAAACAAATAAGATCTATTAGTTACCAATTTATAAATTTAAATAATGGTCGATTCATGTAGGCTAGTGAGTTAGATCATAATCTGCTATTTCCACCAACATGTTACAAACATACTTAATGCATAAACAATAACTCCATGGTGTAAAGCATGTAAGCTATGAACTATCTCAAAAAATATAAGCTATAAACTATACAATCTCCATCATTCTAGGGAGTTGCACCATTCAGAAGCAACCAAAAATACAATGAGTAATAATTCCAACAATTGAACATTTTCTAAATCAACCAGATTGGAATCATAGACTTATTAAGCCTACTAGAAATTCACTTGAGAAACACCAAGATATGATATCAATTTAACTCAAGCTTGTCAAGTACTTAATCCTAGCTTTATTTTAAAACTTCTAATATTGTTTCCCAAATCGATTTAGTTTTATAATTTCGTTTCCAACATAGTTGTTGGAACAAGCCCCTATTACACCATGTGCAGAATTATTTTGTACAACCACTCTTTTGCTCCAAAAAATCAAAAATCGAATACCAAATGTCCATTACCATTTCAAGTGAGCCATAAAGACAATTTTTCAATTGCTTGAAATAAATAGCTGATGAGCACATATGACTATTCAAACCACTTTTAGAACAAAAAATTAATATGCCCTGATGATTTCTTCATTCCATATGATAGAGTTAATTACCTCCCCTCTTTACTATGAGGATTAGGTTTTAAAACTTACAAATGTAAATAGAATGTAAATAGGAATTTACTTGGTTTAGTTCCAAGTTAGTGTTTGATGACCCTCTTCTCTATTTTCTTTATTTGGTTGCAAGAGGTATTGTTTCCAGTAGTGAGACCTTTTTGAACCATAGACAAGTTATTGTTGTTTCTCTTAATAGTCTCTTGATTGGCACGTAAGGGGTGACCAATGGATACAGTGGTTGGTGTGGCATCATTGTCAATCACAGAGGACGAGGATGGGGGCTAGGACTTAACTAAACTTGTTCCTGAACAACAAAAGTTGTATGACCTCTGTTCGGTGAGAAGATTCTTGATGAAAGTAGTTGTGAAGTTTGAACTGATGAAGAATACATTGGCAGACTTTTGGAGGCTGATAAGGGGAGTAAATATTGTGGATCTTAGTTCTAACTGTTACTTATATAGATTTTTCTGCAAAGTAGATATCCAAAAAGTGCTCAACAGAGGGCCGTGGACTTTTAACAACCATTTGTTGGTTGTGCACTACCTTAGGGAAGGAGAATATCTAATAAAAGTAGCTATTGACACGAGCCTCTTCTAGGTACAGATTCTCTCACTCCCATCAGATTATGTATCAAAAACAATGGCTAGGTAGTTTGGGAAATTGTTAGGGAGCTTTGTTGACTATGACACACGTTCATATTCTATGGTTGGGATGGGGGTTATCTGGGGTTTAGGCGGTCATTGATGTTCGGAAGCCTCAGTTCAGAAGAATGAGGCTCCACTTAAGAAATGGGGAATCAACATTTGCAATCTTCAAATATGAATGCCTACCTTTATTCTATTGTGCGGTTGGTTAGGGCACTTAGAATCCTTCTGCAAACTCCACATCCATTCAAGTGTGGCACCGCTACAGCAGGAGTGGGATGAATCCCTCCACGCAAATCCCTTACAGAAACCCGCTCCAATGAGCAAATGGTTATGAGATGAATAGGGGAAAAAATTGATGGAATCATGGGCGAATATCCCGGCAAGTATCTCGGGGATAGGGGGAAGGAAAGAAGAGATGAGTATCTCGGCCGAAGCAGGATAGAAGGAAGATTCTTTAAATTTTTATTAAAAAATTAATGCTTTCCTCTTTCCTCTTTCGTTAGAGTTTTTATGTGAAAAAAAATTTATCCTTCATGAACAATATCATAATTACTATTGAAATAATTAATAATAAATATTTTAGTATAGAATCCAAGTCTATTTATTCTTCTTTAATATTTATGTTAATAAATAATTTCAGAAAAATGCTAATTCGGATTTTTTCGCTTATTATAATTGTTCTAATTAAAAGAATCTAGTCGTTACAGAATATTATTTTCGTTGGATATGTCATGACTCTTTACAACAAAATCCAATTTAATTACTATATCTCTACCAACACAGTCATAAGTTAAATCTTTTGATTCTATTGAATCAAATATTATAAATAAATCATCATTAATCCATATAATTACATTTAAAAAGTGATAAATTTTATATTTTAATAAGATTTAGACTTGTTGTCTTCAAGAAAAATGTAAGAATTTTAACTATTCAAACACCATATTTATGATAATTTACAAAAATTCATAAAAACTTCATTGTAGTGTGTGCTTAATTGTGATAAATGAACAATTGTCACAAACTTTAATGGGGCATTTTTTGTGCTTGAAATGCATGTTCCCATGTTAATGGATGTTAGTGGCTATTTTCTCTTTTTCAATGATATCATCCTATGTTTACCTTATAAATAGTTAGCTCATTTACTCTTTCCTATCTTATTGCTACATTTCTCTATTGCTCTCCTTTTTATCTCTTTTCTTTCACTTTCACTTTTTTTAAAATTTTGTTGAAAGATTTCTAACTTCTACTTTTCTAGTTGTGCAAATTAATAAAATCTATGATCTACAGCTAAACTTATTGTATCATACAATTAACATGTCAAAAAGCTCTTTTTTATACTTGCCTGATCTGATTGACCTAGTGCACACCT